AGCCAAAAGGCAGAAACGTGTCTCTCGACAGATGAATGGATAAACAGAACATAGTAGGTGGTATATATACAATGAAATATTATTCAGCCTTAAAAAGGAATAATATTCCAACACGTGATACAGCTGGATAAGCCTCGGAAACATTATGTTAAGTAAAATTAGCCAGATACAAAAAGACAAATACCGTATGATTCCTTTATATAAGGTAACTAAAATACTCAAATCCATAAAGAAAGAAGGTAAAATACTGGTTATCAGGCACTGGGGCAGGGAGGGTGGGGAGTTACTGTTCAGCAGGGATGGAGTTTCACCCTGCAATGACGAAACTAACCATTTACTTAATCACAAAAAAAGTCAGCATATATTTAAGACTATATTCTCCGAGCCCAAGAAAATAAAACCAAAAATAAATTAAAAATTTCAAACCAAAAGTAGGGCCACCCCTACAAAATTAACACAGAAAAACTCAGTAGCCCTTATATTACTAACCACTGGTCTAGAGAAAACAAATTAGAAACACAGTGACAGTCTTACTATACGGACAGGCAATTCCCCCACACAGCACTTCTCCATTAGATAATGCTTTTATATACCTACAAACAACATAGCTCTGTTATTCAAGACTAACTTGACAACTTACAACTTAAAATCAGTGAACATTTAAGATCGAAGTACTGCAGCAAAGTCTATTCACTTGCGAAATTGTTTCAAATAACCTTGCTAATTCTAATGATGAATTGAAGAACTTCTCAAAATAGTATAAAAAGGAAGCACTATAAGAATCAGTCTTGCAGCCTTCACTATTTCCAACATTTCTTCCAAGCCAAAAAATAAAAGTGTTTTTGTTTTCAATGTTTAAAGGAAAGAATTTTAAAATGATACTATCTGGGCCACGGCTTTAATTTGTGGGCCAAAGGTGTTTAACCAACTATAAAGTGGTTGAGGCAGGGGAAAAAACCAAGCCAGTTTTCAGAGGATTTCCAAAGCTTTTACAAAATCACAGAAGTAAAGTATCAGATGAGCAGAATATTCTAAATATTCCCAATGAAACAGAAGTCATAGTACGAACAGAATTTCCCCACTATCTGCACAATGTAAAACAGGCTTTGGATTCTGTAAAGCATCTGAAATAAGTGACTAGCAGCTCTGCCCCAGATGCTTCCAGCCTCACCCTCCCCGCTCCCCGTCCGCACTGCAGCCAAGCACTGTTCCATGTGCAAATGTCACCAGGCCCTTCTATGTTTAAGAGCGAGCTCACCCTGCCTTCAGAATGATGGTCAAACTCCTCAGCACCACGTCAAATGCCTTCTAGGAGCAGACCCCAACCAAGCCCGCCAGCTTCTCTCCCGCCACGTCCACCTCACCACGTTTCGTTCCAGTGGCTTGCAGCCCTCCCAGCAGTCCCACCCTTGACCACCAGTCACGCTGCCCTGTCACTCTCCTCCCCTCTGCCACATACAAGACCCGAACTCTACTTTCTTAGACAAATCGTAGTCATACTTTAAGACTCAGCTCAATCATGATCTACAAAAAGCCCTCCCTGAGATTCCCAGCTTGGGAGTGTTTTCAAAGCACCCTTTGCACATGAGAAGATGTCAACATTACTAATCAGAGAAATGCAAATCAAAGCAACGAGATATCACCTCACGCCTATCAGAATGGCTATCAACAAAAAGACCACAAATGCAAATGTTGGCGAGGATGTGGAGAAAAGGGGAACCTTGTACCCTCCTAGCAGGAACGTAAGTTGATGCAGCCATGGTAGGTATATACGTAGAAAACGAAAACATCAATTTAAAAAGATCATGCATCTCAATGTTCATAGCAGCATTACTTACAACAGCCAAGAGATGGAAACAACCTAAATGTCCAACAACAAGTGAGCGTATAAAGATGACGTAGTGCATATGTGTACACACACACACACTGGAGTATTACTCAGCCATAAATAATGTGACACCATGGATGGACTTAGAGGGTATTATGCTAAGTAAAATAAGTCAGACAGAAGAAGACAAATACTGTATGATTTCACTTATATTTGGAATCAAAAAGACAAAACAAATGAACAAACTTAACAAAACAGAAACAGGCTCATAGATACAAAGGAAAAAACAGGTGGTTGCCAGTGGGGAAGAAGGTAGGGGAATGAGTGAAATAGGTGAGTCGTGGGGATGAAATGTACAGCTTAGGGAACATAGCCAATTTTTCTTTTAAAGTATCTATCTCCCACAAAAGGAAAGAGAATTGCTGCTTATTCATCTTGTGCCCCCAGTGTCCAGCATATAAGGGAATCAAAGAATGTCTGGTGAACTAAAATTACTGTCTCTAGACTGGTGGGCAGCAGCAGAGAAACCATATGCTAATTAGATATCCCACTCATCCAATTATAAATTCACCATCTGGCTCAATTACCCTTCCTGAGTCCTTACTGGATACCAAGCCCTTCTCTCTAGAATCTTTCACAATCCTCTCAACCTCACTCAAACTTCAACCAGCAATTCTTCCAACATGTCTGGAAATCTAAGTTACCAGCTCACAGCAGGTCTGGTGGGAATTTAGAAGCAATGAGTCCTAAAGAAGGAGAAGACTCCTTTTCATGACACTGAATGAGACAGCAGTGGCAGAGAGAAGGAAGGCCAAAAGTGAACAGAAGACAGCCCCAGGAGTCTGGCGTTATCTGGCATGAGGAGAAGACCCTTACTCTGTGGACCTGAATTACCATGTGAGTAAGGAAAACACAGACAATTTCATACGTAGACAAAGAAGGGATGGCATACTTCAGGTCACCCTAACTATTATAAGTACTTATCAATGAATTTTTCATGTTAACAAAATATAATAATTTCAGTGAAAATACTTTCTCTTGTATTTACTTGAGTGAAATAAAAATAATCAATTTGGGGAGAAAAAATTTCTTTGACTATGCTTACACAAACTGAGCTATGGAATTCAGATATGAATGCTATTAGCACTATTTGGAAAGATCTAGAGAACTGATTATATGCCCTCAGGTGTTTAATTACTGATTTGGTAAACATTTATTATTCTGTTTCTTTAATGATACAACAAAAACACTGCTTCTGCTTTCTTTTTAAACTTGGCAAAAGTAGGGACATTAAGAAATTTTACTTAATTGTCTGTTTCTATTAATACATAGCCAGAGGAATGAGCTTTTCCTAGGAAGCATTTATTCTTTCAAATAAGTAAGTCAAATATAATTTCAAGCAGTACTGTTTTATTTAACATTTCTAACATACCAATCAGCACTTAACAGATTTAACCTTTAAAGTAAAAATAATTCATTGAATCATAAAAGATCAGCAGCCAAAAGTTAAAAGTGAATGACTAACTTTTACAGATAAATGTTCTGGCCAAGAAAATTTAAGCTAATTTAAGAAGCAACTGATAAAACATTCTTCACACTTCTAAGGAAAAACTCACTTGTTGAAAACCTTCTATGTGTTAAAATTTTCTAAAAGTACTACAAAATAGTGTGAGAACCTTAAAGACTAACAAAAAACTAAGATTAAGAACTATTACCCCTATTTTGTAAATAAAGAAATTGAAGGACTCAAAACAATACATTGGTATCTATTGTAAAAGATTTGTTTCTCTTTTCAAGAGGTTTGTGATTTTTTTTTTTAATTGGGAGAGTTTTTCACACATGGGTATTGGTATTAAGTAAACACCAGGATTGTATTTATTTTTTCTGTTCTAACCTCTATACACATGGATTTCAGGCAGCCTTTAACAAAGTTTAATAAAACAAAGATCTAGGTCAAAATAACATTCAGAGGAAAAAACTGGTAACTATGAGAGTCAATGTATATTTTTCAACCAATAAATTTTACTTCCAATTTCCTGACAAGGCAAGGAAAAAAAGGAAAAAAGAGGTATAAGTTACCAATTTACATTAACAAAAAAAAATATTAACACTAGTTCATCAAGGAAAGCAAACTCATCGGACGATCATTTCAAAATAAAAGATATAAAATGACAAATGACTTACAGTATACTGAAATGTAAAAAAGGGTATATTTCCAATTACATGGAGACATACTCTTGTCGGTTCACAGCTCTCTTACATATTATGTTGTAATGTAACATTCCTGAGGCTCCTGCTCACGTGTTGACTACTCGTGCAAAATATTACTTATCAAAACACTTCAAAAAGAAAAATACATAATGCCATACTTTCCAAAATTATCTTCCTGACTGAAATACAAATAGCAAAGAACAAGGCATCCAGCAATGAAATGAACTACATCTGAATGCAACAACATGGCTGTATCTCAAAGTAATCACACTGAAAGAAATGAGACAAAAAAGCACACAAACGAAGAGTACGTATAAAATTCTAGAAAAGGCAAACGAATCTATGTCATGGGTCTATCCATATGTCCACATGTATCGAAAAAACTTTAAAAAGCATGTGTAGTTTATTACATGTCAACTGAACTTCAATAAAACTGTTAAATACCCACATATATATTCACACACACATACAGATGAATAAATAGTAAGAAATGTGCAAAATCTATATGAGGAAAATACTTCTTAAATTCAAAAATGTAGACTTCAAAAATTAGGAAGATACAGCATGTTTTTCCCAAGGTGTGGAGAGAATTTTTTCTAACTATGATTCAAAATCCAGAACCAGTTTTTAAAAAAGAAAGAGACCGAAAAATCCAGCTACATAAAAATAAATAAATCAATAGAAGCTTTTGCATGGTCAAAGCATCATTAGAGCCAATAAACAGAAAAACAACCTAACTGTGGAAAGAGTTACAATATTTCAGAAAGCCAATGTCCTTAATACATAAAGAGATCTTAAAAAGCAAGAAAAAGGAAAGGCCAATGACCACAAAAAAAAAATAGATAAAAGCATGGACAGGTTACAGTAAAAGAAATGAAAATTGCCCTTA